AATACAAACAAAAGACATAACTCCGATAATGTGCACTGTCCTTGAAGTTGATTGGTCCACACCCGAGACAGCTTTCCTTTGAGCCTAGTCTCACATGGGTTGGACCAGAAGACGCCAAAAGGCGCACAACTCAAAAGACAATGCACCATCAGAGTATGAGAGCTCGGGGCAAACATCTACACTATGGGGACCTCATTTGCCAGTAAAAATATGATAATTGGTTCTTTACCCTTCTATCTGGCAACAAAACTGACACCTTTTTACAAGGTGTCATGTTTGCATAGACCGCAATACCTGCAGTCATAAATACAAACAAAAGACATAACTCCGATAATGTGCACTGTCCTTGAAGTTGATTGGTCCACACCCGAGACAGCTTTCCTTTGAGCCTAGTCTCACATGGGTTGGACCAGAAGACGCCAAGAGGAGCACAACTCAAAAGACAATGCACCATCAGAGTATGAGAGCTCGGGGCAAACATCTACACTATGGGGACCTCATTTGCCAGTAAAAATATGATAATTAGTTTTGTTGCCAGATAGAAGGGTAAAGAATCAATTATCATATTTTTTACTGGCAAATGAGGTCCCCATAGTGTAGATGTTTGCCCCGAGCTCTCATACTCTGATGGTGCATTGTCTTTTGAGTTGTGCGCCTTTTGGCGTCTTCTGGTCCAACCCATGTGAGACTAGGCTCAAAGGAAAGCTGTCTCGGGTGTGGACCAATCAACTTCAAGGACAGTGCACATTATCGGAGTTATGTCTTTTGTTTGTATTTATGACTGCAGGTATTGCGGTCTATGCAAACATGACTCCTTGTAAAAAGGTGTCAGTTTTGTTGCCAGATAGAAGGGTAAAGAACCAATTATCATATTTTTACTGGCAAATGAGGTCCCCATAGTGTAGATTTTTGGCCGGAACTCTCATACTCTGATGGTGCATTGTCTTTTGAGTTGTGCGCCTTTTGGCGTCTTCTGGTCCAACCCATGTGAGACTAGGCTCAAAGGAAGGCTGTCTCGGGTGTGGACCAATCAACTTCAAGGACAGTGCACATTATCGGAGTTATGTCTTTTGTTTGTATTTATGACTGCAGGTATTGTGGTCTATGCAAACATGACACCTTGTAAAAAGGTGTCAGTTTTGTTGCCAGATAGAAGGGTAAAGAACCAATTATCATATTTTTACTGGCAAATGAGGTCCCCATAGTGTAGATGTTTGCCCCGAGCTCTCATACTCTGATGGTGCATTGTCTTTTGAGTTGTGCGCCTTTTGGCGTCTTCTGGTCCAACCCATGTGAGACTAGGCTCAAAGGAAAGCTGTCTCGGGTGTGGACCAATCAACTTCAAGGACAGTGCACATTATCGGAGTTATGTCTTTTGTTTGTATTTATGACTGCAGGTATTGCGGTCTATGCAAACATGACACCTTGTAAAAAGGTGTCAGTTTTGTTGCCAGATAGAAGGGTAAAGAACCAATTATCATATTTTTACTAGAAAATGAGGTCCCCATAGTGTATCCTTCCAATGATTGCTCGATCTGTATCCATCTTCCCGGTTGAAGTTATGTCTATGTTTATATATCTGGATGGCTTCATGAACAAACCTTTGATAGCCAGAAGGTGTGCAGAGTACCTTGGTCTCGGAAAAAACTATATCATGAGAGCCCACAGCATTATAGCAATGGTCAGCCGCGGTGGAGGTATTAGTTCTGCCGTGTTTCAGATCTGCCTTGTGCTCGTGAACATGGTCCGAGACATGATGTTTCGTTTCCGCAATGTAACAATCACCACAGGTGCAACTTAGTTTGTAAACTCCTGGATATTGCATGTCAGGAATGACATCCTTCACGGATGGGATTAGATCATGGATTGTGTACTGTACTGAATCAGACCTGGATCTTGTGTTTTGTTTAAGATTTTGGTATTATTTTTGGTAACGCCAGCTATGTATGGTAATGTGATGGGTTTGATCGGCGTCTCAGGGGGTTGTCTCTCCATGGTTGGAGAAACAGCTTTGCGGATAATGTGGTCCGAATATCCATTCATCTTAAGGGCCTGGTGTACGTGTTCCAGTTCACTGGCTAGGTGGTGTTGGTCAGAAATGCAGTGGGCCCTATGGTGTAATGTTTTGATGAGGGAATTCTTCTGTGCCAGATGGTGGTGGGAATCAGGTTTCAGATATAAATCTGTGTGGGTAGCTTTTCTGTAGACAGTGTATCCCAAAGAGCCATCAGGTCTCTTTTCAAACAAAACATCCAGGAATGGTAGTTTGCCATTCTTCTCCACTTCCATGGTGAATTTTATGGATGGGTGTATGGAAATAATTTTGTTGAGAAATGTGATCAATGCTGGCAGGCCATGTGGCCAATTAACGAAAGTGTCATCCACATATCTCTTCCACAAGGAAGGACGTAGGGTGGATGTTTGGATGACATCTGTTTCAAATTTCTCCATGAAAACATTCGCTATCACTGGTGATAAGGGGGAACCCATGAGGGTACCTTCATTTTGTTTGTAGAAAGTACCATTCCAGGTGAAGTAAGTGTTGATAAGGCAGTACCTAACCAGCATAGGAACAACAGGATTCAGTCCATGGTGGACTAAATCTTCAATGATTGCTAAGGTGTCAGGCACAGGAACCTTGGTGAACAGAGAAACCACATCAAAGTTGACGAGGAAATCATCTGGGGACAGTGAAATGCCCTTTATTAGAGAGACCAAGTGAGCTGAGTTATGTACTGCTGAGGTAGTCTTGCTAGTGAATGGAAGCAAGGTATCAGACAGAAAACGGGCCAGCTTGTAGGTAGGTCAGTTGATAGTGGATATTATGGGCCAAAGTGGAGTGCCTTCTTTATGGATTTTAGGAAGACCATAGAATATGGGTGGTCTAGGAGCAAGAGGTTTTAGGGAAATCAGTTGATTGGTTCGATTAGAGATGTCGAACTGGTAATGATATTATTGGTTTTTGTAGTCAGGCTGTTAGTAAGATTTTTGTTGATTTTGGTGTAGCTGCCATCATTTTTGCCGTGCTTGTTGCTTACTTGTAGCCTCCACTCCCCCTACCCCACACCCCCACCCTCCCTGTCTCTCCTCCATGGCTCCTCCCCCCCCCCACGCTTCTCTTGCCTATATGGCCTCTTGTTGCAGCAGCCCTTTTTGCCCATTTCAGCAATTGTTTCATGCTGTGGTTGTCCCACTTGATGACGGACGCTTGTGTTGCGCCGAAACGTCGTGATTTAATTTATTTTATACCTACGTGACTTTACCGAACAAACCAAAGAGTATGGATCCCTGCAGTCACGAAAACTTAAAATCTAGATTAATACCTAGACAGCCAGGACGAGTATGATGAGGTCTCTAGACCAAGGATGGGAAGCATACGGTCCCATGACTTCATTTAATACAGCCTGCAGTCACGTGACGTATACCACTTGGTAATGGGCCACAGACGATATTTACCACTGACCCGCATCGTACCAAACATATTGGGCACGAGGGTGTTTTCTAGCCGGTAACACTTTTTCTAATTCTAGCACACTCATTCACCCAATAATAATAATTAAAATTCTTGTAATGATTCTAACAATGATGTCGTAAGAGCCACTTTATTGGAACACAGCCACATGACTGGACCATAGGCTTCGTGCTTTACTTCAGCTTGTAACTTCCTCCAAACGTCCTCACTCCTCGTGCTCTCCCCTTTTATATTCCTCAGGTCCCTTTTCTGGAACCTTCTTGTCCTTGCTTTACTTTAGCCAATCCCTCTCCTTCCCCTCTAATGGACACTCTCTGTTTTCCGATTTATCTCGTTAAGACCTTATTCCTAAAATCCCTTTAAAAAAGTTTGCCTCCTGACGAATCACCGTAGAGGCCTCTTTCTACCAGTCGGAGAACTTTGTTTATTTTCAAATAGGCATTAGGCTGCATATTGGCTTGGGGTAATTTTCCGTCATTACATTTGTTATCTTCTTGGTTCTTTCGGTAAAGTCACGTAGAAGGGAAGTAATAAAATAATAAAAATAAAACATAATAAAATAATTCTCACGACGTTTCGGCCACAACGCAAGCAGCCGTCCTCAGGTGAAGAACATGTCTGTCGATAAGACAGAGTCTAAATGACACGTCTTAGGCTTGGAGTGTCTATTTAAGCTGTGAGGGAGGAGGAAGAGAGCCTTGACAAAATAATTAGCATTTGAAGAGGAATTTACATTTGTTAGGCGCACTTCAAATGCGCCGTTTAAGGAAAGCAGGGAATAAGACAGATCCAGCGGTAAACCACCACAACTCTTAGGGAAATGCAATTTTAAAGAGGTGCATTTTCAGGGCAAATTTAAAATATCTCTAAAGATTCTGATTGTCTTATTACAATTGTCAGAGGCAACGCGTTCCATCGTCGTGGAGCTGCACTGGAAAAAGCCCGATTACCACCAGGAACGCGGGTCTGAGCATACGACAACACAGACACTACAAGCTTCATGAAAGTATTATCTGATCACATTCGGACCCCAATAAAGTAAAGATCCCCAACCTTTTTTCTCGATGACAATGGTGCTACGGTGGCTACGATATGTTAACGACCTCGCCTGGTATACATGAGGTCACGGGTGCGATCCCGACCCTGACGCTTTCTGTAGAAACATCCATTTAGAGTATTTGGCTCCTTTAAATATCCACGTGATAGGCCACCTCGCTGAACTTCCATTTGTTGCCAGGTCGTTTCTGAAAAAGAGCTCTACGGCTCAGTGGGCCTCACCTAGTCAAATAAAACTTAGTTTAGTTTCGGTAAAATAAAAAAAGTTTTTAGTTCAGTTTAGACAGGTCTCTCTCTCTATTGGGGTCTTGAGACAACAGGCCTGCCATGGCTCTCTGAACGATACCAGATACACGGCACACCGGCCCACAGTCGCGTGTTGGTAGAGCTGTCACAGAGTCAGCCCGTGGCGTTCTCCAGCACACAAACCCACGGCTGGTGTCAATTCCGCCCTCCCCGCTATCGTCCGCAGGTGGTGGAGCTGGGGAGATCTGCACCGAGGGTAACGGCTACAATGTGTGCGTGGCGAGGACTGTGGAGGCCGCGGAGGGAGGCTCCGCCACTCTCCCCTGCAGATTCACGTTCCCTGAAAACGTGAATCTGAGCCGAATCAGTGTCGCGTGGAGAATTGATAACTTTCACGGAAATTTCACCTTTAACAACACGGGCAACCCGACCTTTATCAGCAAGCTGTTCACGAACCGCCTCGCCCTGGTGGGAGATCCTCACAAACGCGAGGCATCTCTAGAGATCACGAACGTGAGGCGCAGCGACCAGAACAAGTACTTCTGCCGAATAATGTTACACACCTTGTTAGAGAAAATTGTGTTCCAGATAATTCCAGGAACGGATCTAATTATTAAAGGTAAGGTTTGTGTGTTTCCACCCCGTCCTGTAGAGTGTGAGTGCATACAAGTGTGTGTAGATGAGAGTGTGAGTGAGTGTGACTGGATGAGTGAGTGAGTGAGTGGATGAGTGAGTGAGTGTGACTAGATGGGTGAGTGTGTGTGTGTAGATGAGAGTGTGAGTGAGTGTGAGTGGATGAGTGAGTATGTGTAGATGAGAGTGAGTGGATGAGTGAGTGAGTGGTTGTGAGTGGATGAGTGAGTGTGTGTATATGAGAGTGTGAGTGAGTGGATGAGTGAGTGAGTATGTGTATATGAGAGTGAGTGTGAGTGGATGAGTGAGTGAGTGTGTGGGTGAGTGAGTGATTGTGTGTGTGTATATGAGAGTGTGAGTGAGTGTGAGTGGATAAGTGAGTGAGTGTGACTGGATGAATGAGTGAGTGTGTATATGAGAGTGTTAGTGATTTCGAGTGAGTATGAGTGGATACGAGTGAATGAGTGTGAGTGGATTCGAGTGAGTGGATGAGAGTTGATGAATGTGAGTTGATGAGAGTGAGTGGATGAGTGAGTGAGTGTGAGTGTAGATGAGAGTGTGAGTGAGTGTGACTGGATGAGTGAGTGAGTGTGTGTAGATGAGAATATGAGTGAATGTATATGAGAATATGAGTGCGAGTGAGTATGAGAGTTAGTGGAAGAGAGTAAGTGGATGAGAGTGAGTGTGACTGGATGAGTGAGTGAGTGTGATTAGATGTGAGTGGATGAGAATGAGTGGATGATATTGGATGAGAGTGAGTGAGTGTGAGAGGATGAGAGTGAGTGGATGAAAGTTTGTGAGTGTGAGTGGATGAGAGTGAGTGGATGAGAGAGTGTGAGTGGATGAGAGTGACTGTGATTGGATGAGAGTGAGTGAATGAGAATGAGTATATTAATGTATAAGTGGATGAGAGTGAATGAGTGTGAGTGGATGAGAGAGATTGAGTGAGAGTGAGTGGATGAGTGAGCGTGAGTAGATGCGAGTGGATGATAGCGAGTATGAGTGGATGAGAGTGAGAGTGACTGGATGAGTGAGTGAGTGAGAGTGGATGAGTAAGTGAGTGTGTGTAGATGAGAGTGGGAGTGAGTGTGAGTGGATGAGTGAGTGAGTGTGAGTGTATGAGTGAGTGAGTGTCTGTATATGAGAGTGTGAGTGAGTGTGAGTGAGTGTGTGTAGATGGGTGAGTGAGTGTGAGTGGATTAGTGAGTGTGTGTAGATGAGTGGGTGAGTGTGAGTGGATAAGAGTGAGTGTGAGTGGATGAGTGAGTGAGTGTGAGTGGATGAGTGAGTGTGTGTAGATGAGAGTGTGAGTGAGTGCGAGTGAGTATGAGTGGATACGAGTGAATGAGTGTGAGTGGATGAGAGTAAGAGCATGATATTGAGTGAGAGTGAGTGGATGAGTGAGTGTGAGTAGATGAGTGTGGATGATAGCGAGTGTGAGTGGATGAGAGTGAGTGGATGAGATGTGAGTGGATGAGAATGATTGGATGATAGTGGATGAGAGTGAGTGTGAAGGAATGAGAGTGAGCAAGTGGATGAAAGGTAGTGAGTGTGAGTGGATGAGAGTGAGTCGATGAGATTGAGTTTGAGTGTATGAGCGTGCGGGAATGTGAATGGATGAGAGTGAATGTGAGAGGATGAGAGTGAGTAAGTGGATGAAAGTTAGTGAGTGTGAGTGGATGAGAATGAGTATACGAATATATGAGTGGATAAGAGTGAATGAGTGTACGTAGATGAGAAAGAGTGAGTGTGAGCGAGTGGATGAGAGTGAGTGACTGTGAGTGAGTGTGAGTGAGTGGAAATGGATGTCCGGCAAAAACAACCCCCTACCTCCCTGTGGTGCCGGACGGACAACGTTGTTGTGGACAGTGCCGCGGTGGGAGGGCCAATTCCGATTGGCCTTTCCCCTCATGGCATCTGTGACCACCACAGCGGCTAAATGGGGGCTCTGGACGGGTGCGAGGGGCTGGTAACCCCTCCACTTTCAATAAATTACCACTAAACTACGTGAAAAATATCTAATTAATAAGCGCGTGTCAGAGGCTCTGGGGGGACAGGCGTCTATGACGTCTCCTGGCCAAACCTCATCTGGCGGAGCCAGGAGATTGAATCTTTACCCTCGGGGCTCCTCCAGAAACAACAAAAAGCCACTACGGATGGCCATGTGGAATACGGATGGCCATGTGGAATGTTCGAACGCTCACTGTGGAGGAGAGGCTGCCACTCCTCTGTTGGGAGGTGGACCGGTACCACCTGGATCTCTGTGGCATTCAGGAGGTCCGGTGGACCGGCTCTGGCTTCTGCCACCATGAGGGGTGGGCAGTCCTCTACTCGGGGCAGGAGACTGCCAAACCACAGGGTGTGGCTCTTCTTCTGTACAAAAGAATGAAGGGGATGTGGGAGCGTGGCGGTGAGGGGTGGGATGCTGTAAGCCCCAGGCTACTTTGGGCTCGCCATCCCATCAACCGGAGGCGAAGAGTGGTGGTCGTGGTTACTTATGCCCCCACCGAAGACGAACATCCGTGGAGGGATACAGGCAAGGCCGATGAGTCAGATGCCTTCTATGACCTGTCACAGGTGCCGGCTAAAGTGGCCCCTCGGGATAGTCATCTTGTTGGGTGACTTCAATGTCCGAGTTGGTCATGATGCTGGCACCTGTTCTGGAGTGATTGTAAGGCATGGGCCAGATCAGCTCAATAACAATGGTAGGAGGCTGCTAGATTTTTGTGCAGCCCATGGACTTGTAATTACCAACACGCTGTTCCGGCATCGGCGCATCCACACAACATCATGGACGCATGCCGGGTCCACGCAAAAACATCTGCTAGACTACATAGTGATGGACCAGCGGATGCGCGTTCATGTCCTTGACATCAGGACCTACCATGGAGTTGATCTGCCCCCTGACCATCGACTAGTCATCTGTAAGATGTGCCTGCCATTCTTCCACTCCGGTGGTGGGTGTACACCCAGGACCTCATTCCAACCTACGGCGGCCTGGTCTCAGCTAGCTGATGGAAGTTGCAAGCATCGTCCCCCACTGATGTCGAGGGTAAATGGGCGAGGTTTAGGACTGTGACTCATGCAGCTGCAATGGCTGCTTTGGGTACGCGGTCCAGACCTCCCCAGAGACCCTGGCTGACAGAGGAGGTGTTCAGGATGGTTGAGAAAAGCAACAGGCCCACTCTCATCGGCTACAGCATCCCACGACAGAGAATGAGGAGGCTTACCGCAGCCTTCGCTCGGAGGTTCAGAGAGCCGTGAGGCGCTGCAAGGATGGGTGGTGGTCGCAGGTTGCTGAGGAGATGGAGTCTGCCTCAATGGCCTGCGATCACAAATCCCTATTTAACGCCATCAAAAAAGTAACCTGCAGCGCCACACCTATTACCATCATTAGGGGAAAGAATGGTGATCCAATCTCCGACCCCCAGGAACAGGTTTTCAGATTTGCTGAGCATTTCTGTGAGGTCCTGGGGGAGGGGGAATCCCTCCACCTGGAAAACATCATGGGAAAAGTGGGGATGACCCTACTGAGGCTGCGGTGCCTCAAATATTGGAGGAGGAAGTCGCCCCCTGTGAGTGGCTGACTGAGGTGTCATCCGTTGAGGAAGTACTGAAGGCGATCCAGAGTCTGAGATCAGGAAAGGCACCGGGCAGAGATGATCTCCCAAGCGAAATGCTGAGAGAGGGTGGCGTTTGTTGCGCAGACTGCCCTACATGACATCATAACAACGGTCTGGGCCACTGGACGGGTTCCGCAGGATTGGAAGGATGCCCTGGTGGTCCCCCTCTTTAAGAAGGAGGACCGCACAGACTGTAACAACTACAGGGGCATCTCCCTCCTCAGTATGCCGGGAAAAGTCCTGCCAAGGATTATTCAACATCGCCTTGCTAAGCAAGCTGAGGAAAGACTTGCAGAGCCCCAATGCGGTTTCAGGAAAGGGCGGTCCTGCAAAGATGTCATATTTTCTGTCTGTCTGCTACAGCAGAGGTGTAGGGAATTCCAACAAGACCTACATCTCTGCTTCATTGACTTGGTCAAGGCCTATGATACCATCAGTAGGCCTGGGCTCTGGGTTGTTCTTCATGCTTTCGGAGTCTCTGACCCTCTGCTCACGCTTATTAAGGACCTTCATGATGGTGAGCAGGCCCGGGTAAAACTACGTGGCCGGGAGTCTGAGCCATCCCCTGTACACCTTGGGGTGCGACAGGGATGTCCTCTGGCTCCAACATTATTTAACATCTATTTCGACCACATAGTTCGTGAAGCCTTCAGTAGCTCTACCGGAGGAATTTCCATCTGGTACAGATACAATGGGAGGCTGATCGATGCCCGGGTGCGGTCAAGGGATGGCTCCCTATTGGTCAACCACGTTATGTATACCGACGACCTGGTAATTGCAGCTCACTCAGAAGAGGAGTTGGAGACGCTGCTGCTGAGACTGGAGCGTGCCACTAAGAGGTGGGGCCTTACCATCAGCCCCAACAAAACGAAGCACCTGCCTTGGTATTGTGTACCATCGGGCACTCTTCCCCCACAACTCTCAATCGGTAATGGGGCAGTTGTGGAGAGAGTGGAGAGTTTCCCATATCTGGGCAGTGTGCTCATGACCGGCTCCGGTTTATCAGCAGAGGTCTCACTCTGAATCAGTCGAGCGGCATTATCTTTTTATCGGTTGCGTAACGCTGTGTGGAAGCTACCTGGTCTGTCGCTCCGCACAAAAGCTTCCGGTCTTCTCGGCCACAGTCATTCCCTCCCTTCTCTACGCTTGCGAAACGTGGACCCCCCTAATGGAACATCTTCGCTGGTTAGAAACATTTAGGATGGCCTGCCTACGATCAATCCTGGGTTTAACCAGGCTGGATTGTGTGAGGAGCTCACAAATCCTCGAAAGATCTGGACAAAGTCCCATCGGTGAGCACCTCCGGCAGGCAAGGCTGCGTTGGCTGGGTCATGTAGCCCACATGCCCAATCACCGCATACCCAAACAGCTTTTGTTCGGCCGGATCGAAGGGGCTAAACGCGCACGGCATGGCGAGAGAAGAGAAGGAGTGACGTGGTACAGCAGGAAGTGGAGCTGAGTGGACTTTCCGATGACTGGTACCAGCGGTGTCAAGATCGGCCTCTGTGGAGGAGGCTGGTAAAGGACGCTACTGGGCAGTTGGAGGCAGTCGCCATCCAACAACAACTGAGGACGGAGGAGCGACGCTCACAACAACGAGTGGAGCGCCGGGTGTCTAAAGCACAGCAAGTTGGCACAGTAGGGGGCACAGGTGGTGCATCAGCCACTCATCTCAATCAGGCGACCCGTGGCACCTGGGTCTGCCCTGTGACCTCCTGCCAGCGGGCATTGGACACTTCACGTGGCCTCAAGGTGCACATGGCCTGGCACAAGCGTCGTGGTGACGTCACCGCCACTTACTGGCGAATGGCGGTTGTTGTTGTAAATGGATGAGAGTGAGTAGATGAGAGTGAGTGGATGAGTGGATGAGTGTATGAGCGTGAGTCAGTGTGAGTGGATGACAGTGAGTGTGAGTGGATGTGAGTGGGATGAGAGTGTTTGACTGAATGGATGAGAGTGAGTGGAAGAGAGTGAGTGAGTGTATGAGAGTTTGAGCGTGAGGGAGTGTGTGTGTATGGGAGTGAGAGAGAGTTAGTGGATGAGAGTGAGTGAGAGTGAGTGAATGAGCGTGACTGAGTGTGTGTGGATGAGAGTGAGTAACTGTGAGAGGACGAGAGTGAGTTAGTGAGTGTATGAAAGTGAGTGTGAGTGGATGTCAGTGGGATGAGAGTGTTTGAGTGAGTGAGTGTGAGTGAATGAGACTGAGTGAGTTCATGAAATTATGAGCGTGAGTGAGTATCAGTGGATGAAAGTGAGTGTTTGAGAGTGAGTGAATGTGTGTGAATGAGAGTGAGTAAGTGGATGAGAGTGAGTGAGTGGATGAGAGTGAGTGAGTGGATGAGTGAATGAGTGTATGAGAGTGAGCGTGGGTGAGAGTGAGTGAGTATATGAGAGTATGAGCGTGAGTGAGTGTGTGTGGATGGGAGTGAGAGAGAGTGAGTGGAGGAGAGTGAGTGAGTGGTGAGATTGAGTGAGTGAATGAGCGTGAGTGAGTGTGTGTGGATGAGAGTGATTCAGTGGATGAGTGAGTGTGAATGTATAAAGGTGACTTTGAGTGAGTGAGTGTGATTGTATGAGAGTGAGTGTGACTGTGAGTGGATGAGAGTGAGTGTGAGTGAATGAGAGTGAGTGAGTATGTGTAGATGTAAGTGTATGAGAGTGAGTGAGTGTATGAGAGTGATTGAGTGTATGAGAGTGAGCGTGAATGTGAGTGTATGAGAGTTAGAGTAGATGAGAGTGACTGTAAGTGGATGAGAGTGAGTGAGTATGAGTAGATGTGAGTGGATTAGAGTGAGTAACTGTGAGTGAATGAGAGTGATTGAGTGGATGAGTGAGTGAGTGTATGAGAGTGAGTATATGAGTGTATGAGAGTGTGTGAGTGAATGTATGCGTGTATGAGCGTGAGTGAATGTCAGTGGATGAGAGTGAGTGTGATTGGATGAGAGTGAGTGGATGAGAATGAGTATATGAACGTATGAGTGGATGAAAGTGAGTGTGAGTGGATCAGAGTGAGTGAGTGGATAAGAGTGAGTGAGTGTAAATGGATGAGAGAGAGTATATAACTGTATGAGAGTGAGTGAGTGGTTGAAAGTGTGTGACTGAGTGGATGAGAGTGAGTGGATAGGAGTGAGTGAGTGCATAACTGTATGCTCGTGAGTGAGTGTGATTGGATGAGTGAGTGGATGAGAGTGAGCATATGAGTGTATGACAGTGAGTGAGTGTGATTGGGTGAGAGTGAGTGTGTGTGGATGAAAGTTAGTGAGTGTGAGTGGATGAGAGTGAGTGTGTATGAGAGTGAATCGATGAAATTGAGTTTGAGTGTATGATAGTGAGCGAGTGTGAGTGGATTAGAGTGAATGAATGTAAGTGGATTGGAGTGAGTGTATAAGTGAACGAGATTGAGTGAGTGTGAGTGGCAGTGTGTGAGTGTGAGTTAGTGTATGAGTGTTAGTGGATAGGTGAGTGAGTGAGTGAATGAGCGTGAGTGAGTGTGTGTGGATGAGAGTGAATGTATAAAGATGAGTTTGAGTGAGTGAATGTGATTGTATGAGAGTGAGTGTATGAGAATGAGTGAGTGTGAGTGACTGTGCGTGGATGAGAGTATGAGTGAATGAGAGTGAGTGGATGAGTGAGTGTATGAGAGTGAGTGAGTGTGAGTGGATGATAGTGATTCAGTGGATAAGAGTGAGTGTGAGTGTATGAGAGTGAGTATGTGTAGATGTGAGTGTATGAGTGAGTGTATGAGAGTGAGAGTGGATGAGAGTGACTGTAAGTGGATGAGAATGAATGAGTATGAGTAGATGTGAGTGGCTGAGAGTTATTGAGTGGATGAGTGAGTGAGTGGATGAGAGTGAGTATATGAACGTATGAGTGGATGAAAGTGAGTGAGTGTATGAGTATGAGCGTGAGAGTGAGTGGATGACAGTAAGTAAGTGAATGAGTGTATTATTGTGAGTGTGTATAGATGAGAGTGAGTGGATTAGAGTGAGTGTGAGTGAGTGTAAATGGATGAGAGTGAGTAGATGAGAGTGAGTGTATGAGAGTATGAGCCTGAGTGAGTGTGTGTGGATGGGAGTGAGAGAGAGTGAGTGGAGGGGTTCGTTCTGTGGTGAGTGGAGCGGCTCACTCTGTGGTGAGTGGAGGGGTTCACTCTGTGGTGAGTGTAGCGGCTCACTCTGTGGTGAGTGGAGGGGTTCACTCTGTGGTGAGTGGAGCGGGTCACTCTGTGGTGAGTCGAGGGGTTCACTGTGGTGAGTGGAGGGGGTCACCCCGTGGTGAGTGGAGGGCTTCGTTGTCTCTGTGCTGTGACTCTCATAGGCACCACTGCCAGTCCTGGCAGCATTGCCACTGCTGGCACCACGCAGAGTCCCCTAGTCCCAGAGACCGCCGCGGCCGCGTTCCCCACGGCCACGGTCGCTGCCATCTCGGCCCTCGGTGGCCTCCTGCTGGTCGCTGCCTGCGCGGCTGCCCTCGTGTTCCTGTGGAGACGGCGGGCCCGAGGTGTCCAATCAGCTCCCTGTGAGTTCATTGCACGGATTGTGTGAGGGTCGCTAGCCCCCGATATCCCTCCCTCGATAATGCTAACGGCCGGGCTAGCATCATCAATCGCCCCCCCGCTGCTAAGCGAACCGCTGCTAAGTTCCTCACCCATGGTGTGGGAGCCGTCGCCCGAGGGTTCCACCCCACCGCGGGTCCGCGTAGCCGGCATGGTTAATTACGTACGCGCACACCCACACACACAGCTCCGTACGGCACTCACTCTTGCGCTTCTCTGCGCCGCGCTGGCCGCTCACGTTACAATCGCGCACCTGGGGTACGCCGATTTCGCACGACGAGAGCTTACGCATACACCGTACCACACGCGTTCACACTTATAACACGTAACGAGCACACGCAAGCGGGGCACACGCCGACACAACGACTAAAGTCGCCGCCGCCGTGCGCGCGAGATAAACCGTACAACAATGCGCAGCCGATTACGCTATGAGCGCGCACCTGGGGGACGCCGATTACGCACGCACGCCCACACACACGCCGCTCCGCGCACTCCAACTCAACTCACGTTATACTCGCGCACCTGTATCACACACGGAGTGAACACACGCGACACCCACTCTCGCACCGCTCTGCGCAGCGCTCCCCCGAGGCGAGCCGCAGCACCACAGAATCACTGCGTATCCACGCGCAACCCGCGCGCTCAGCTCCGCGCAGCGCTCACTCACGTGGCGAACCACTGTGCACACAGCGCACCCACACGCTCACACTGCACGACAAGATCACGCGAGACCACGCTTCGCTATTAATGATTTATTACCTGATAACTAATGTTGAATTAGTGAGTCGACGAGGCTGGCCTATTCCACTAAACCGGCACCTATTCCCTATTTATCGGCTATGATTCTAATTCACCTTCTTACTCACTGTTAAGTGTCCACGGCGGTCCGCTGATCCTTGTGTTAACCGCGTGCCTCGGTGCGTCGCACGGACGTCCGGGTCGCTGGCTCGAGCTGCGTCTGGTCGCCTGGCGCTGGAGTAAGAGAGCGATTTCCCCTCTGCGCTCCTCTATTTATCCTCCCTACCTCCAAAGGGGATGTTGCACTGAACAATGGGCTCGTGCACCCCAAGCCCGCGCACGGCAGTCCCCAGGCGCTGTTGATATGCTAATCAGTGTGCTGCGTGCAAGGCGTAAATCCTAATTACTCCCTTACCCTTCCTAACAATGGGGCTTGCGCGCTCAAGCGCAATTATCCCAACCCTCCATGACTATGCGCAACAGCCCCTGTGACCCCGCTATTCATGCTGTCCCGTGCCTCCCCTGCTTGCCCCGTCGACTCGTGGGGGTGTGTGTGGGGGGAAATGCGCCTCAACCGCGGTGGCCGAATGCCCCACGCCGCGACCACACCATATTAAGGCCGGCAGCAGCGCCGCGGTACCACGTAGCACGGGGGAGGTCATCCAATTCCCTGATCGCCGGAAACCGTGAGAATTAATCCCGATAAGGGTCTCTCGGATAAAAACCGGTCGATCAGGTAACCTTCCCTTCCAGCTCTATGGGGGGGGGGGGGGGGGGGGGGGGGTGCGTGCGGGTGTGTGCTTATGTGGGGCGGGTGATTGGGGGCAGTGCGGTGGGGGAAGCCGGGCGGCTCCCTGGCTCGGCAGAGCGGCCCCGTCGCTGTGGCACCACATAGCCCCCCGGGGTGCCAGTCCCCGTCCCGGGTTGACTTGAGCACCTCGCCTGGGTTGCCCCCACGAGGTATCGCCGCGGGGTCCGCGGGATTCGCCCGGCCCTTGTGGTTGGCCTCGGGGGTGGCGGCTCCGTCTCCTGGGGCTCCGGCGGTGGTCTCCTCCTCCATTCCAACGGCTCCCCTCGGCCCCTGGCACCTGCGGGCTGGGGAACAAACTCAGAGGCGGTGGGGTTTAAGGGTCGCCGTCCTCGTCGCCCCCGGCCCCGCCCGGGGCCCCTCGGAGCCCGGGGCTCCGTGGGGCCCATGTACTGCGCGAGGCCCCCGGGCACGGGGGGTGGGGGGACCCCGGGGTTTCGGGGTACTTGGACGGCGGGGCTCCCCCCCTCGGGGGCTGCTCGCCACGGCTTCAGTCGGCGGATGTTGACCACCATCTCCCGGCCCCTCTCTCCTCCCTGAATCAGCACCGTCCATGGTGAGATCTGCCGTCTCACAATCCAGGGTCCTCGCCAGTAGGTGGTCAGCTTCCCCACCTGTCCAGCACCGACGCGGGGAGTGTACAGCCACACCTCGGAGCCCGCAGTGTAGAAGGGGGGCTCCATACGGGGTCGGGCGCCCTGCTCTTGCCGCTGGTGCGCGGCCTCTCCGTGCGGGCAGGCTCGGCCCCTGGCCCCTCGCAGGGTCTCCAGCAAGTACTCCACGGGGTGGCTCCCTTCCTCCCGTTGCGGCGGAGGAACACCGAACAGCAGATCTGCGGGCAGGCGAGACTCGCGACCAAACATCATTAGGAACGGGGTCTGTCCTGTAGAGGTGTGAACGGCGGTGGTGTAGGCGAACAGGGCATAGGGAAGGTGTTCGTCCCAGTCCTGTTGATTCGCGGCCGCCATGCGTTTAAGCTTCCCGGCCAGAGTCTGGTTCATCCTCTCTACCATCCCGTTCGCCTGGGGGTGATACGCCGTGGTTCGGTCCTTCTGGATCCCGAACTCTCGGCACAGCGCCTGAAATAGTTCGGCCTCGAATTCACTACCCTGGTCGGTAATGACTCGTTCGGGGATCCCGCACTTAAGTACGTAGTTTTCCACGAAGGCCCGGGCCACTACAAGGGCTGTTTTATCCGGGATAGCCACCGCCACGGGGTAGCGGGTGAAGTATTCCACCGCTACGAGAATATACCGGTTGCCCCGGTGGGATCGTGGAAAGGGCCCCTGCAGGTCGATTCCGACCAACTGATTCGTCCGACTGACTCGGAACGGCCTCAGGGGTACCTGGTACCTCGCCGGCTTTTGCCCACACTGCTGACAGGCCCGGCAGCCCTGCACCCAGGCGGCCACATCTTGTGCCAATTTGGGCCGGAGATACTGGCGACGCAGGGTCTCTCGAGTGCGTCGTTCCCCATCGTGGCCCCCGAGTGGGTGGTCATGCACCAGCCGTAGCAGCTGGGGTCGCACCTGGGCAGGAACACAGATGCACCCCGGCTGGCCGGCCTCGGTTAACTCCCGTACCACTCCGTTCTGCACACACAACCGGCCATACAAACCGCTCCAGGGTCCTGGTAGGGCGCTCTTTTCCTCCCGCAGTGCCGCCTCCACTGCCGCCAGATCCGGATCTCGCTGCTGGGTCTGTCTCAGCTGCTCGTCGTTTAGGCCCGGGAAGGCGCAGCCGACGTCCTCCTGGATCCGTCCAATCGGGTCCCGAGCCGCGGGTCCCGCGCTTGCCGGGCGGTCGACGGGATCCTCAGTGCCACCTGTGAGGGTTTCCGTGGCGCACACTGCACTCTCTCTCGCTGGGGGGGGGTCAGTGGCCGCGGCCTCTCGGGGGTCCGTTGCCTGCCGGCAGCGTCCCCCCGTGAAACACGGGCAGGCCTCCTCCGCCCTCGTCTCGGCGTACACCGTGGGTCGCCTCGACAAGGCGTCCGCGTTTGCATGCGTCCGGCCAGCCCGATACTCGATTTGCAGGTTGTACTCCTGCAACTGCGCCAACCACCGGGCCATCTGCCCCCGCGGCTCCTTGAATGTAAGAAGAAACTGCAGAGCATAATGGTCAGTGCGGACGTGACATCTCCTGCCGTACAAATACGGCCGGAACTGTTTGCATGCGAAAATCACGGCGTACAACTCTTGGCGGGTCACGCAATAGTTCAGCTCGGCCCCACTCAAGGTCCGGCTGGCGTACGCGATGACTCGTTCCGTTCCATCCTGTACCTGTGACAACACCGCGCCCAGCCCGCTGCTGCAGGCGTCGGTGTCCAAAATAAAATCGGTGGTAAAATCGGGGAAAGCGAGGGTGGGGGCGTGGGTGAGGTGATCTTTGAGAGTGGTGAAGGCCGTCTGGCAGGCCCCCGTCCACTGGTAGGGGTGCTTAGGGGAGGTGAGTTGGGTGAGAGGGCGTGCAATCTCGCTGAATCCCTTTACAAATCGACGATAATAGGTGGCGAGCCCCAAAAATGATCTGATCTCCGTCAGATTCCTTGGCCGTGGCCACTCCACTACGGCGCGTACCTTCTCCGGATCGGTGCGCACGCCTGCCTCGCTGACGCGATGCCCGAGGTACCCCACCTCGCGTTGTGCGATGTAACACTTACGTGGCTTGAGCTTGAGATGAGCCGCTCGCAGTCGCTGGAACACCTCGCGAAGCCTGGACCAATGCTCAGACAAAGATCTACTGAACACTATCACATCGTCCAAGTAAATCAGGCACTGTTCCCACTGCAAGCCCCGCATCACCAACTCCATCAACCGCTGGAACGTCGCGGGCGCGTTAGTGAGTCCGAACGGCAACACTCGAAACTCAAACAGGCCCATCGGGGTGGTGAATGCGGTTTTCGGCCGATCCTCCTCCGCCATCTCCACCTGCCAGTACCCGGACGCGAGATCGAGGGTGGAAAAATACCGCGCTCCTGCGAGACTGTCGAAGGTGTCGTCGATGCGGGGTATGGGGAAGGCATCGCCGAGCGTGACTGCATTTAGTTTACGGTAATCGACGCAGAACCGGGTTGACCCATCCTTTTTCGTTACTAGTACCACTGGGGCTGACCAGGGGCTCGCCGAGGGCTGAATTATGTTATCGCGAAGCATGTCCCCAACTGCCTCTTTGATTTGGGCGCGTTCGGGTGCGCCCACTCGGTACGCAGGGAGCTTGATGGGTCGGGCTGCACCGGTGTCAATTTGGTGCTTAACAAGATCGGTCCGACCCACGTCCGAGTCGTGTTCACTGAATACGTCGGCATACTCCCGCAGTAACTCGCGCAACCGATCGCCCTCTCCCTTAGGTAAATCCGCCCATGGTACATGTAACGCGTCGAGCAGGGGAACGACCTCGGCTCGGGGAGTCGGGCCG